CCTGCTGCTGCTCCTGCTCCTCCTCCTCCTCCTCCTCCTCCTCCTCCTCCTCCTCCTCCTCCTCCCTGCCCTCTTCCTGGAACAGCAGCAGGGGGAGGCGGCCGACAGGCACGGGAGATGGACGTGGGCCCGCTGGAGGACATGGAGCGGCGCAGGGACGCCTTGGGCTGCAGGGACATGGCCCCGCGCTCGGGGCGGGGAAGTCAGTCGCAGGCGAGTTTTCTCCCCCCAGTCCCCGCGCTCCGCCCGAAGAGTCTGGCCGTCCAGGGAAGCGGGGGGAGCTCTGGGAGACACCCCCCGAAGGGGCTGTTCGGGCGCACCCTCCTCGCAGGATGGACGCCCCCCCCCCTGGTAGATCCCAGGGTGGAACCCAAGACCTCTGGCCCGGTCGAAGACCGTTCAAACCGGCCGGGGATTGGGGAGTGGGGCCGCTGGCTGTGCGATACAGTCGGGGCCCCGAAGAAGGAACCCGTTTCGTTGGGGAGGGGCTCGGTGTTCCTGAAGTGTTGCACAGCTTGCCTCGGGTTTTCCTGAGGCTTCCGAAGGGGAAATCGAAGGTAAACCTATGGGAAAAAGGGGCCTCGTTCCTCATTTATCACCACCTACCAAGCCACCCCAACCCAACCCGAAGGCCTCAATTTACCCTCGATTTCCAGTGTGGGGGGGTCGGGGAACATCGAAAAAACACATGTGGAACCCTTACCCCCCCCAACCCGAAATTCGGGTCTTCGGGTTGGGTTGGGGTGGTCTGGTAGGTAGTCAATTTAGGGTTCCTTAGGTCAACGCCCCGACTGCAGCCCAGGCGCCGTGGGCGCCGTGCCGCGCTCACTGAGCAGTGGCCCGGCCAGCAAGGCGGCGCCCGCGCGAGTCCACGGACGTGCGGGCCATGTGCCCCCATCCATCCCGCTGCTCGCCACTGCCTCAAGACCACAGCCACTCCTCCTCCTCCACCTACCTCCTCCTCCTCCTCCTCCTCCTCCTCCTCCTCCCCTGTGCCTCCTCCTCCCCTCCTCCTCCTCCCCTCCACCTCCTCCTCCTCCCTCGTCCTCTTTGCCTCCTCCTCCTCTTGTTTCCACTCCACCTACCCACCTCCTCCTCATTCCCTCCTCCCACCTCCTCCTCCTCCTCCTCCTCCTCCTCCTCCTCCTCCTCCTCCTCTTCCTCCTGCGGGCTTTTCTCGGACGGGGCTGGGACGCGGATAGATCCTCTGAGAAGGCCGCGGCGCCCGAGACATCCTCCAGAAGCGCCAGATCTGAGAGATTATCCTTTTTAACTCTCACCCGATGTGATCCTCGTCCGGGCTTCGTCTGAACATGCCATTTGCAGCTTCTGGCCTGCAGGTTCGCGGGACGGTCAAACATCGACACTGTATGAGCAGCCTCGTAGGATGAACCCGGGGAGGTGTCTTGGGACTAATTCTGATCAGGGTTTTGAGCCCGTCGTCAGTATCGATTAACCGATCCATATCCCCGTTTCCATCCCCATGTCGAGCCCCACCATCCCACCACCCCAGTTGGGGATATACCCCTCGAAACACGAAGGGGACAGCCTATATCCCCATCTAGGGAGGTACATCGGCGAGTGTGGCCGAGGCCACGCCAGCTGGGATAGGGATCGGTGCACCCGCCGCCGCTGCACCCGCCGCCCCCGCCGCCGGAGTGGCCTTCGGTGCGCCACTGCGGAGGCGGGGGCGGCGGGTGGAGGAGGAGGAGGAGGAGGAGGA